GAAGCGAGCCGATTCCACTACAGTGTTGGTAGTTGGACAACATTGTGAATATATTAAATGTCTCTGACTTGTACACTTTAAAATGGGTAAAATGGTAAATTGTTATGTTATACAAATCTTATCTCAAAGACAAATAAAATAAAAATTCAGTGGCCTGTGACTTTTTTTTTTAAATAATGCCTACTCTTTTTTTTTTTTTTTTTTTTTTTTTTGACAGACAGAGTGGACAGTGAGAGAGAGAGAGAGAGAGAGAGAAAGGTCTTCCTTTGCCGTTGGTTCACCCTCCAATGGCCGCTACGGCCGGCGCACTGCGCTGATCCGAAGGCAGGAGCCAGGTGCTTCTCCTGGTCTCCCATGGGGTGCAGGGCCCAAACACTTGGGCCATCCTCCACTGCACTCCCTGGCCACAGCAGAGAGCTGGCCTGGAAGAGGGGCAACCGGGACAGAATCCGGCACCCCGACCGGGACTAGAACCCGGTGTGCCTGCGCCGCAAGGCGGAGGATTAGCCTAGTGAGCCGCGGCGCCGGCCGCCTGTGACTTTCTTAACAGAGGTAGGTTTTAAGAACTCAGGCATGAGCTGGACGTGAGTGGATTGCTCACGTGGGAGGAAATGCCGTACAACAGACACCAAGCCCCATCTGTCCTCCCCTGGCCCTGGCCTCTTGTCGGGGTAGGGAGCAAGTGGCTTTTCAGGACTGGATTGGAGGAGCAGAAAGGTCAAAGCAAAGCAGTTAGCTCTCCCTCTGTCAGTCGGATCAATTGATGGTGGGCTCTGGAAGGCTTGTGCAGAGAAAGCAGCTGGTGAGACCAGCTTTCCCAACGTGTAGTGTGGAGGCACGGATGATTGAATCTGGATACAAACAGAAAGGCGGGATGGCTAGGGACGACCGAAGTTACATTGTGCAGCCCCATGCCTGGCCACGGAGCCTGAGTGCCTACCCTGGAGGAGAAAAGGTCATGGGGAGGTCATGACCCCATGCCCTCAGACGCTCACTAATGGGTTTAGCAGGGCGGGTTCCTATCAAGAGAAGTGGCAAACAGGTCCCCTCTCCTGGGGACTCAGCTCGCATCATCTGGTTACTGCTATTTTTTGTGTAATGTTCGCTTCTCTTGCTGGATTCCAAATTCCGCAAGGGCAGGCGCTGTGTCTATTGTATTTCCCACTGTGTGTTCAGTAGTGCTTGGCACACAGTAGGTGGCTTCTCAGTGCATCTTTGTCGACTGACAACTGGAGGCCCCCAGGTTAAGCCCCTCGGTGAGGGGTGAATGCAAGGCTGCCAAAGTGCGGGGGGATGCTGAGGCCAGTCTGTGAGCAGAGCTTGGCCTCACGGTGCAATGGGTGCAGAGAACCAGGGAAGCAGTGAGAGGCAAGGGGCTTCCTGGAAGTGGTGACGCCTGAGCGCTGAGTGTAGGACGGCATCGTATGTAGGGCCTTAGGAGGCTGACCGGTCCTGGGGGCTCAGGGAAGCTGCAGGGGGCAGCCTGGCTGGAACTCCTGAACGCTGATGGTGGTGGGAAGCCACTTGCAGAGGACGAAGACAGGCAGGTCTGTGCTGTGTTGTTAAAAATGCATTTTATTTATTTGAAAGGCAGTGGTAGAGAGAGACAGAAGGACAGACAGAGACCTTCCATCCACTGGTTCACTCCATAAATGTCTATAGCAGCTGGGGCTGGGCCAGGTGGGAGCCAGGAGCCAGGAGCCAGGACTATTTTTATCCTCATTGCACGGATGATGGAACTGCAACTCAGGGAGTCTGCTCCTTGGCCACGTTCATGCGTTACTGTGTGGGTGGTCAAGGTTTGACCTTGGGCAGCTGGACTTGAAGATGCTGGACCATCAGCATGCTGCCCTCAGGTTGGCTGGGTGGGTAACGGTACCACTCTCTCATTCGGGGGAAATAGGAGGAAGATGGTGGACTGGCAAGGACCAAGTTTTGGACAGGTTGAGAAGGAGACGCTGTGGGTTTCTCTGTGATATCCCATGGGCTTATGCTAATCAGTTTGAGAGAGAACCTGCTGGGAGACGAGTGCATGGGAGGCCCAAGTCCAAGGTCAGTAGTCAAAGCCACAGAAACGAACAGGACAACCTAGAAGCCAGCGTGAGAGCGAGAGAAGAGGTCAAAGACAGCACCGGGGGATGCCAAGGAACCAAAGACGTCCTCAGGTGTGGGCATCAGGAAGCTATGGGAACCATGGCGGGAGTGGGGCCCTTATTAGGGTAAGGGAGGAAGCCAGAGGGCAGTGGTTAGAAAACTGGCTGCTATTCTAGGGAGCTCCGTGCAGAAGGAGAAGCGAGCTCTACTAGAAGAGACCAGGGGTCCGCAAGGGTGATGTCTTCTTCCTGTTCATCACTGAGAGAGATCTGCAAACGTTACAGGTGAGATGGGTTCACCTCTCAGTGTGGAGGGTGGGAGAGGAAAGGTGTGACGGAGTGAAACCCTGGAGGCAGCTGCAGGAGTGAGGCCAGGGAATCAACCTTCACAAAGAACACAAATACTTGGGGCCAGTGCTGTGGCGGAGCAGGTGAAGCCACTGCCTGCAGCGCCGGCAAACCATATGGGCACAGGTTCGAGTCCCGGCTGCTCCACTTTCTATCCAGCTCTCTGCTATGGTCTGGGAAAGCAGAAGATGGCCCAAGTCCTTGGGCCCCTGCACCTGTATGGAAGACCGGCTGCGCCACAGCACCGGCCCCAGCTATGCTGCTTTGAAATGGAGGCACCTTTCCACACACTGCAAAGCCAGTGACTCAGTGTGGCATGATACGGTTCCCAGGGGACCTATTCTTGGGTGACATGGGACTGCTCTGTGAGTTGACCTCGTCTCAAGGCCTCACCATGGCCTTGCTGAACTGTCTTGCGTATTCTCAACCTCGCTTCCCTCTCCCCTTCACTGGGGATCGGAACTGCCCTGTGCGTGTGCCTCTCCATGTTTCCTAGCTCCCGTTCTGTTTCACTGCAATGGATTCTTTTTCTAGAACAAAAGACCCCTATTGTTAATTTTTTTTTTCATTTTAGTTGAAAGGCAGGAAAACACAGAGACAGGTGGCCAAATGCCTGCAGCAGCCAGAGCTGGGCCAGGCCGAAGCCAGGAGCCTGGGACCTAACCTGGGCCTCCCACGTTGGTGGCTGGAATCCAACTACTAGAGCTGTCACTTGACGCCTTAGCAGGAAGCAGGATATTGGTCACGAACTCTGTTATGGGGCGTGGCTGTCCTCGGTGGTGACTTAACTGCTGCATTTACCCCTAAACCTTTCATTTATTTGGCACAAGGAGAGGGAGACAGAGAGAGCACTCCCATCCATTGGGTCACCTCCCCCCACCAAACAACTACAATGGTTGGGCCTGGGCAGGAGCCAAAGCTGGGTGCTGGGAATACAATCCAGGTCTCTCATGTGGGTGTTAAGAACCCAATTACTTGAGCCGTCACTGCTACCTCCCAGGTATGCATTGGCAAGAAGCTGGAATCAGGAGCTAGGTCTAGGAACTGAACCCAAGTACTCTCATGTGGGATGCAGGCTTTTTTTTTTTTTTTTTTTAAACAGCTGGCTAAACACCCACTCTTAAAATGTTTCTTATAATAAAAAATTTAATCCTGTTGGTGTCTGGTTAACGGAGACCCCAGACTAACTTAGCTACCTATAGGCACAGGTGGAAACAATCAGAAAGGCTATCGCTCACCTTCCTGTGAAAGGGGTTGAGCTCAGGGAGACCAGAAGGGGTCTGAGTGTTACAGCAAGATGGGTGGTTGCGGATCCTGGTCACTTTTTCAGAGGTTTGTAGCTCAAGTGTGACTGCCCACCAGGCACAAGGGGGGGACCACACGAGGGTGGGTATGATGCACACAGATCAGGGCTCTGGGAATTGAGGGAGAAGCTGAAGGGTTCCAAACCCTAGTATCTGCGAGTAGGAAGTGAGGTCAGCCACTGAGAACAGGATGTGGAATTCTGGAAGTGCTCCTGTGGAGAAAGGAAGAGAAGGCTGACAACGGACGGAATCAGAGGGGCTCTGGAGGAGGATGCAGAACTGGCACAGCTGGGGAGATCTTGTAGGGCCTTGTAGGCCTTGGGAGCATCTGAAATTTTAAAAAACATGGCAGAGTTTGAGGGAGAGATCTTGTATCTGCTGGTCCACTCCCCAAATTGCCACGTGTCCAGTGCTGGGCCAGGCAGAGGCCAGGAGCTCCACCTGGGTCTCCCATGTGGGTGGCAGGGGCCCAAGCACATGGGCCATCTTCTGATGCCTTCCTGGGCACAACAGGAAGCTGGGTGGAAGGTGGAGTAGCTCGGTCTCCAACAGGCGCTCATGGGGTAATGGTGTCATATACACTGGCCCGTGGCCTTTGGATTTTATACTAATTGTGTAGGGTTTTGAGCTGGGCCACATGACCTGATGTCTACCTTAGAGGGCCCACTTTGGCTGCGCAAGGATGTAGGAATAAACAAGAGTCCAGTTGGGCCGTTAGAGGAGAGAGATGGTGTGGAGCGGGTGGGGAATGGCAGGCGCTGGCTGGCAATGATTTCTTTCCCCCAGGTGGACTAAGGAGCCAGGGCAGCACTGGATGGGGGGATGGGAGCGTGCTTGCCCATCTACACATACTAGAAAGAGCGAAAACTGTGAGGACATTAAAAGTTACAAAAATTAAGTTTTCTAAAAGAAAAAAAGCCTTTGCCTATTTCGCAAGAGGCTTCCCTCTTTCACTGCATTCTATTTGGAGCGTTGGTTCTAAGACATATCTTTGATAGCACTGTATTTTTCCTGGCTTTGTAGTTTCCTTGAATGAAGGAGTACTTAGCTCCTCCTTTCTGTGAAGTAACAGCTTCATTTCTTTTCAGACTGGTGACTGTGCACTTCCCATCTCCACACGGCAGGAGTGACCACTACCGTTCCTCGGCCACCCGTCGGCCCTGGGTTTTCAGCTCTGTCAGATTCCCTGGGAGTCTCTGGGTGTACACAATCACACACACAAAAGGCAGTCATGATAAAAATGTCCTCACAAACGTTTGCCTTTTTAAACAAAAGATGTGCCATATATTTTTATTAAATCATAGAAAACATTTGTATACAAATTTTTCCACTCTGGAGAAACTGTATTATTAAACAGCTGGGTAACAAAACAGTTGAAGATACATCTCATTTTAAGCAGAGACAAGTTTTAAGTTGTCACATTTATTTAAAAAAAACAAAAAACAAAAAACAAAAACCGCTGAAATACCTTCAGGCCAGAGGAGTTATATCTTTTATAATCCTCAATTTTAGGAATTTATTTTATTACTTAAATCAACCATGGAGTTTAAAAGATGAACAGAAAATCAACTTCTTTTTACCTACACAGGCTTTTAGAAGACTGTGAATGCTGAAGTCCAGGAGACAATCTGATTCCACGGGGCTGATTAGGCTTCCTTTCTACAATGGAAAATGTGTACAGTGGTGTGGAATATATTTCAGAATAAGTTAAATATTGAGACATACAGTATGGCGATAATGTCCTACTTGTTTTCCTACCGAGTAAATTCCGAAGTTCATCCTAATCTTACACGTTTATAAAAGAAGCGAGGAAAGGGGTCCAGTGATGCCGACGCCACAGAGCCACCACCAGAACCACACTGTCCAATCACACGCTCCGGCGGACACGCGGCCCTGGCAGGATCGTGCCCCCACTCCTCCACTGAGGATCCAGGTGGGCTGACTGAGGTGCACCTAGAGCAAACGGGCAGTGTTTCTGAAGTTTAAGTGGTCACCTATTCTGTTTCTAAACAGAGATCCGGAGGTGACACTGACATGTCTGCACTCACACAGATACTCACATAACAAACACAAATTAAATATTTTCAAAGTCACTTTAAATTAAATTGAATACCACTATTTTTAAGTGCATGAAGTACTTTCCCCTAGCTTGAATGCATGTTACAGATCCATCATTAATAAGGAACGTGTTGGAGGCCCATCTCTTCCTCCCAGAACGCCCTGGAACAACACATGAGGCCTATGGGGGGGGGGGGCGGAGCAGGGGGACGAGGCCACGGTAACAATGGAGGGATGGTCTCCGAGTGTCATCTTCCCGAATTCCAGTCTGGATTGCATACTCATCGGAAGAAGAAACTGAAAATGGGCTCGTTGGGCCTGGCGTCTTGCTTGTCTGCAGTCGCCTCCTCTGGAACGCTTCCTTGACCTTTAACACTGCCAGCCACACTAGAAGCTGCTCCCGGGGCCTGGGCCCCCACTGTTGATCTGCAGACCTGGAGTGCTCTCGGGGAACGTGTAAACAAATCCAGGAAAAACCGCGTTTCTGCGAGTTTTCCTCATGTCAGTGACAAACCTCTCTGGCTGAGAAACAATCTAACGGGGAGGGCTGCCCCAACGTCAGCTTCCCACAGGGCTTGTCCTTTGCTCGTCCTGCTGTAGAAAACTGGAAAGTCAAGTCCTTTTTGCCTGGCTTGTCCCGAACGGTATTAAACAGTCAGAAATGTTTCTTTGGACTACACTTTTCCTGAATTATGGCCGATGCCTATCTGAGCCAGCTTGGTCTGCCTTCTCCTTACTGGAGGGGACTTGGAGACGAGGCCAGGCTTTTGTGCAGGTTGGGGTTCTGGCTGTGCCTGTTCCGACTGCGAACGGATGAGAACATGGTATTGCAACCCGGCACTTTGCATTTGTGCAGCTGGCGGAGGTGCACGGTTTTGTAGTGGGCCCTGAAGGTCCCTTTGTTACTGTACGTCTTTTGGCAGAGGTGACAGGTGATGGGCAGGCCGGAAGGCAGGCTGGCGAGGCTCTGGTCGGCACTGTCCATCAGGACACAGATGGGGTACTCATCTTCGCCGGGGACAAGGCTGGACCCTTCACAGTTCCCGTCGCTGTCTTCCATAAGCACGGTGCCTTCCTCACTCGCCCCTTCAGAGTCCCAAGAGGAGTGGCTGCTGCTCTCTGACTTCATGCTCGAGGTAGTGCTCAGGTCCAGGATGGTGCCCTCACTCAGGGGGCCGGCGCTGTAGCTCTCCAGGTTGGCACTGTGGACTTGGGTTATTGGATAAACCAGACTGCCCATTCGACTTGTTCCCTTGAAGATGACGGACGTCTGGGAGGCTTGCTGTGCGAAAGCCACATCCTGATAGGCCTCCTTGGCCACGTCTTTCAGAAGGTAAGCTGCTCGAAAGTGGTCTTCAGGGCTCTCCACTGCTTCCTGGTCCAGGACTTTCTGGTGGAGGCTTAGGTTTGAACTGTGTCTGCGAGAGTGAAAAGATGGTTAGAAAGGGATCTGGCTGTTGCTTTAGACGGTCATCATTCTGAGTAGAGAGAATTGGTGGGTATCAGGAGAACCCTACAGCCTGGGAGAAGCGATGGTGTGGGCTCAGGTCGCTGTAAGATGTAATGCTGGCTGGCGCCGCGGCTCACTAGGCTAATCCTCCGCCTTGCGGCGCCGGCACACCGCGTTCTAGTCCCGGTTGGGGCGCCGGATTCTGTCCCGGTTGCCCCTCTTCCAGGCCAGCTCTCTGCTGTGGCCCGGGAGTGCAGTGGAGGATGGCCCAAGTGCTTGGGCCCTGCACCCCATGGGAGACCAGGAGAAGCACCTGGCTCCTGGCTCCTGCCATCGGATCAGCGCGGTGCGCCGGCCGCAGCGCGCCGGCCAAGGCGGCCATTGGAGGGTGAACCAACGGCAAAGGAAGACCTTTCTCTCTCTGTCTCTCTCTCTCACTGTCCACTCTGCCTGTCAAAAATAAAAATTAAAAAAAAAAAGATGTAATGCTGCTGTTCATCACTCGTATGAACTTAGCATTCACCGGGAAATGAACAATCTAGACACTGGGAATATATACTTCTATTCAATTTCTACAATCCGATAGATATGGAACTTCCTGTGCCCCATCTACTGGGAATGGCGACTACTTCAACCAGGCCAGTTTAACTGGGACACTGGACCCAGGAGCTACCAAAGGACTTTTTTTTTAAGAGGCAGAGTAACAGACAGAGAGGGAGAAACAGAGAGAAGGGTCTTCCATCCACTGAGTCACTCCCCAAATGGTTGCAATGGCTGGAACTGGGCCCATCTGAAGCCAGGAGCCAGGAGCTTCTTCCAGGTCTCCCACATGGGTATAGAGGCCCAAGCACTTGGGCCATCCTCTGCTGCTTTTCCAGGCCATATGCAGAGAACTAGATCTGAAGAGGAGCAGCCGGGACATGAACTGGCACCCCCATGGGATGCCGGCACCGCAGGTGGAGGCTTAGCCCACTATGCCACAGTGCTGGCCCCCTAGAGGACTTTATTTTAATGAAACCAGGAAATATTTTCTAGAGCTGCATTCTCCAATATGATACTCACTAGCAGTACAAGACTATGGAGCATCTGAAATACGGCTGGGTTCATAGACTGAAATATTATTTTGGATATATTGAATTAAATATGTTACTAAAGCTTACTTCACCTGTTTCACTTTTTTATTGTGGCTGTTAGAACATTAAAAATTTCTGAGGGTGGGCATTGTGGTCAGTAGGTTAAGCCATCTCTTGTAACACCTGCATCCCATATAAGGGTGCTGGTTTGTATCCTAGCTACTCTGCTTCTGATCCAGCTCCCTGCTAATGTGCCTGGGAAGGCAGTGGAAGGCGGACCAAAGACTTGGGCCCCTGCTGTCCACATGGGAGATTCAGATGGAGTTAAGGCCCCTTGCTTCAGTCTGGCCCAGCTCTGGCTGTTGTGGCCATTTGGGGAGTGAACTACTGAATGGAAGCTTTCTCTTTCTCTGCCACTCTTTTAATCGATCAATTAACCAATATTTAAACATTCTTTTTTCTATGTGGCTTGAATTGTATTTCTATTGGATCATGTTGTCTAGAGTATTTACACACACTTTACAGGTGTAGGAAATTCTGCGCATGGATAGGTGTGTGTGTAGTTTAGAACATATTGGCAGCGTTTCACTATGTGCCAGACAGAAGTTTTGCAAGTGCAGCAGTGTCAGCACACCGCCAATCATCTACCCAGTGATTACTCCTGAAGGGCAGATAATGAACAACCATTATAAAACGCGCCTTTTCCTTACATGTTATCATTTTGATGTAACTTGTAAATCAATGTTGTTCTTGCTTGGAGATTCCCTGCTAACCTCTGACAGGCGAAACCACCCCTTATCAAGGAGTACCATCTTTTTTTTTTTTTTTTTTTTTTTTTTTGACAGGCAGAGTGGACAGTGAGAGAGAGAGAGACAGAGAGAAAGGTCTTCCTTTGCTGTTGGTTCACCCTCCAATGGCCGCCGCGGCCAGCGCACTGCGGCCGGCACACCACGCTGATCCGATGGCAGGAGCCAGGAGCCAGGTACTTCTCCTGGTCTCCCATGGGGTGCAGGGCCCAAGCACTTGGGCCATCCTCCACTGCACTCCCTGGCCACAGCAGAGAGCTGGCCTGGAAGAGGGGCAACCGGGACAGAATCCGGCGCCCTGACTGGGACTAGAACCTGGTGTGCCGGCGCCACAAGGCGGAGGCCTAGTGAGCCGCGGCGCCGGCCCAAGGAGTACCATCTTAAAGTTGTCAGGATAGTATTCCCAAGCAGAGACAATCCCTTCCTCAATACGGGTCAGAATGTATGCCCAGGGTCAAGTTGGGAAGTACAACCTTACCAAACTAAGAACTGGATTTTCTCTTCCAAATCTCCAAAGACATATGTATATGGGAGGGTTAATAGTATTTTTTAAAATGTATAAAATTTACTGCTCAATTTCTTTAATCTCCTTACATTTTTTTTGGACATAATCAGAATTACAGTCCCACTTTGCAAGAAGCTCCTCTCAACTACAACTCTGCCCTGTGATTATGTCAGTGTTCTGGGCTGAAGGGGCTGGTACGTGTCAGCAGAAAACCAGACACAAGATTGACATACAAGTTCCAGTGCACAGAAGTAGTTAAAAAAAAAAAAGTCAGACAAACACAGTTCCTGGAGCCTTGTACTGCAACAAAAGAAATCGCTAGGCCTCCTGGCCAACTCCAGAGTATTCCAGGGATACCAAGAGCTAACTGTGGGCTCCTCTACCTCCTCTCAAGCTGACAGGGTTAGATATTCACTAGTTACGCTATTTCCTGTGGTACTGTGTCCCCTAAAACTCTCTGGACCACGCACTGGGCTTTCTGCTCCCAGGGTTTTGCTAATCCTGTGCCCACTGCCCATGTCTTTCTATTTCTCCCCTTTGACCTCTACCACCCCCTCGGACCCCTGTCCCTTGGTTTCTTACAATTCTGATTAGTTGAGACTCACAGTTCTCAAAGTGTGGTCTGAGTGTTCCCAGTAGTCCCTGGGATACTTTAAGGGGGTTTCCAAACAGAATTTCATGACACTAAGATATTATTTGTTTTTCCACTTTCATTCTCTCATGAGTGTACGGTGGAGTTTTCTAGAGGCTGCCGGGTGTGATACTGCCATAGACTGAATGCAGAAGCAGACAGGACAGCTTGGCTGGTTTCTGCTAAGCCAGACTTTACAGAGCTTTGCAAAAATGTTCTCATCCCACTCAATTTTTACTCTAGCAAATGGAGTTATTGCTCATAAAAATGTTTAATTAGACTAGAATACCTTTATTATTATTAAGTGATACAGTATTTCTTTAGTTTTTAAATTTCTAATATGGAAAACATTGATAGCTATAACCCAAGCAGAGAAAAGCTCTCAGAGTCTGTCATGTTTGCAAAGGGGTTGGCTGTGAGACCGCGAGGTCTGAGAACTTCATCTCCACCCTTCTTCCAGGAGGCCCACACCTAACTCCTCAAGGAGTCTGCACCCCCTCTGCCCAGAGCAGTCTACACCTCCCCTGTGTCTCATAAGACGCATAAAATTTACTCTTCGACTCTTCTATCCTCTTACATTTTTTTTTTTTTTCTGGGCACGATCAGAGAATTATGCTCCTGCAGACCAGCTCTTCTCAACGACAGCTCTGCCCAAAGGTCTGCGCGCTGTGCTGCGGGCTTCTGTTTCCTGGTCCATCTCCCCTACCACACTGGAGGCTTTTGTGGGCAGGCACCGTGTCCCCGGCACCTCGCACAGAAAGTCCCTCCTAAATAATTGTGGGCACAATCCCAACACCTGCATGATGGGCCCTGTCACTTCTGCTGGTGGCGGCAGTGGAGTGGACGTGAGTTGCCCTTATAGCAACATACTTTAACCTTGGACTCAGAGAAATGGTGGTGGGCCTGGGCCTGTCTCCAAAATCCTATTCTAAATGGTGTCATTTTGTTCTTTTACAATTTTTATTTGAGACGTAGAGTGAAAGAGAGAAGAGAAGATGGGGCAAAGAGAGAGAGGACAAGCAAAACAGTGAGTGCTCCTACCTCCTCTTTCATTCCTCAAATGTCGGCACCAGCCAAGAGCCAGGAGCTGGGAACTCAATCCAGGTCTCCCACACGGGGTATCAGGAACCCAAACACCTGACCCATCACTGCTGCCTTCCATGTCTGCATTTAGCAGGAAGCTGGAGGCAGAGCCAGAAATGGAGATCAAACCCAGTACTTTGACATGGGATGCAGGTGTCCTAACTGGGGTCTTCCCTTTAGGCTAAGTGCCTGTCCTTAAAATGGCATCACTCTCATCAGATCTAGGCACATGCATTCCAAGCTGCAGACTACTGGAATTTGGAGCTTTAATTTAGCATGAAAGACCATTTCCTGTTGTGGTAGTGGTAGGGAGCTACAATATCTACAAATGAGTCAGAACATTAGAAAATATTAGATGATTAAATAAATATCCAATGAAAGAGTATCTTGTACATGCCTCCTAATTGAGCAGATACTGTGGGCTAGAACAGTATCCTAACTGTCAAGGATAATCTGATAGGACTCCCTCTTGTTCGTAACAACAGCTTATTCATGAACAAACAGGAGGGCTGGTTCACTAATTAGGGTACCCCAGGGATTTGGTTTAACATCCTAGCAACAGAAACTGGAATTTTAATATCTCCTGTACTCTATCCTCTCTGCTAAAGACAATGAGAGTGTTCTTATGAGCCCTCTCCAGGAATGTGTGTGGGAGTCTGTACATTTTCACCCTCATAACAAGCGAGGCATTACAGTTTGGATTCAGGTAGTGGTGGTGTTGCGCGGCTGCAAGTCAAGCTTGCTCCAGCGAATGCGCGTTTTGCTGTTCTGTGGCCCACTCGACAGTCGTCAGACGGCTGGCTCTTTCCTTAAGCCTTCTGGGGTCATCTTTTGCTGTGTGTGCTGTCTAGACTTTCATAGCTGGGGAGGAGGGTGACCTGAGGAGTGCCCAGTGACTCCAGTTCTCGAAGAAAAGCACAAGCTGATGGCAAGGCCAGTGTAGTCCCCAGAGTGAAGAGACATGTTCTGCAGGTGGGCTCTCTGTAAAGATTGACGTGTGTGTGTGTGTGTGTGCGTGTGTGTGAGAGAGAGAGAGAGAGAGAGAGGGAGGGAGGGAGGGAGGGAGGGAGGGAGAAACCCAGCACGTTTCAGTCGTACCTCACAGTCCCTGAAACAACCTGCCAGTTGACTCTATTCTTCAATATCTTAATATTTTGGAAAAATCTTCAATCAGGTAGTTATTTTTCCTTTCAAATGCAGCTAAGAAGCAGAGGAAATTCTTCCTTCCAAGGACTATTATGAAATGGAAATCAGACAAGTTTTGGGAAATGGTGGTGGTAATTTACAACATCCCCTCCTTCCTCCTCTCTGAGTTATCTTCTACCCCAGCTGCCAACCTGAGGTCTGGTTCACAGTTTGTTGTTCCACCACCTCAGGGCCAGATGTGTTGCTGAATTCAGGATTTCTCACACTTCAAAAAGGCAGAATGACCCATACACTGAAATATCACATTAATGTTCCTATAACAACAAATCCATTAATATTCTGAGCTGAATAATGGACATATGTAAAAACCCACTCAAAGGGAGATTAAAACAAAAACAAAAAACAAAAACGGGGCCAGCTCTGTGGCGTAGTAGGCTAAGCCTCTGCCTGTGACACCGGCATTCCATACGGGCGCTGGTCTGTATCCTGGCTGCTCCACTTCCCTACAGCTCTCTACTATGGCCTGGAAAAGCAGTGGAAGATGGCCCAAGTCCTTGGGCCCCCGCACCTGCGTGGTTTCAGATCAGCTCAGTTCCAGCCATTGTGGCCATTTCGGGAGTGAACCAGTGGATGGAAGACCTTTCTGTTTCTCTGTCTCTTAAATAAATAAAATCTTAAAAAAAAAAAAAAATACAAATAGCTTCCCATCATTTCAGGTCAGGTTTTGCAGTCAAATGAGTTTATGTTTTTGCAATTGAAAATCTATGAATGTGGAAATATGAAAATCCACCAAACGGCCTTTTTCAACCCAGGGCAGCAAAATCACTGTCACAGGGATGCAAGCCCCTGGGCCTTCTCCCAGATCTGCTGAAGCAGAAATCCTGGGGTGGGGCCCAGAGGCCTGTGTCCCAACCACCCTCCGGGCGATTCTGACGGGGGCTGGAATGTAAGAGCGACTGAGCGAGGAGCGACTGCCAGCAGACGCCTTACCGGTCTCTGCTCCTGCGGGAAGGGAAGGTGGCCTTACAGCCCTCCACCGTGCACGCGTGCGCCTCTTTGGAGTGCATGTTCTTGTGGTGCATTTTCACGCTGCACGCGTTTTTGAAGGTCTTCTTGCAGATGTCACACTGGAAGCGATTGTCTTCCTTCTGCCTTGCTAACGCGTGCTGATGACCCAAGTGGTCCAGTTCTTTGGAATCTTCAAGACAAGGGAAAGGCAGGCCCCTGCTGGACAGAGCGCTGAAGAGGCCTCCGGCTAGCAAGTGCTGCTGCAGTCCCACATAGTCAGGAAAAGGAACCCGGGGCTCCAGCCCAGCTGCGAAGTGGTGCTCACGGCCGCCGTCCTTGACCTCCCTCGGCAACATGGTCAGCGCTAGCTTCTCCTCACCCTCCCTCTCCGAGGTGTGTGTGGCCTGCTCGGGGCTTCGGCTGATGGCTCCACTGCACTCCATCATGGATTCGAGATGGCAGGGCCTCTCGCCTTCGGGGAACGGTTTCCCTAAACTTCCTGCCTGCATTGGCTGCTCCTCAGGGGCCCTGTCCGACTGAGGACTGCAGGCCTCTGGCTCATCTTCGCTGACCACCTGCAGGGGCACGTCTTCGTCTGAGCTAAGGGTGCTCCTCTTCTCGTTGGCTATTTCCACAGCTTCCTTCTCTATTTTGATAGGCATGCTGGACTTCCGGGATTTTTTCTTGGGAAGAGCATCAAATGACATTTCGCTGGAAACCAGCTGCTGTGGGATTGAAGATGACAGCAGAGGGAGAGAAGGCAGCATCCCAGGCGTGTTGGCCAGCTCAGCGGGGGTGGCCGGGCTGCGGTAGAAAGGCAGGACCGGCTGGACAGTCTTAAGGTTGGGAAAGAGCACGCCGTTTTGCCCGATGCTTGGGAAGGCTGGCTGGCCTTTGGAATCCTCCCCTGAACCCATGTAGCCGGGGAGCGGCCTGCAGTCTGGAGATACCACGGTGAAAGCTGGGTGCTTGTAGTTCTCAGAGCTGGCCAGGCTCAGGCTGTTCCTGAGATCCTTGTCCCGGTTATTTCTGTTCATCGGCATGTGCAGTCGAGGGTTGGGGTTGGCGCTGTGGCGGTTCCGGCTCCTCAGGGAGCTGAACACCATGTTGCAGCCTTCGATGGTGCACTTGTGCTTGATCTTCAGGTGAACGGCGTTGTAGTGGATCTTGAGGGTGCCTTTGTCGTAGAAGGTCTTCTCGCACGCCGTGCAGAACACCCGGCCCTTCTTTGTGCCCAGGCTGTTCCTCTCGGGCTTCACTTTGGCTTCAGGGGACAGCTGTGTCCTCTCAAGCTTAGCGACGAGGCTGTAGGAGCTGGAGTCACTTAAATGGGCACAGTCTTCCTTTTTGGCAACATCGTCCGGACAGTTTAAGCACTGTTCCTTTTCGATCTGAAAGGGCGTGGAGCTGGAAGTCAAGAAGCTGCTGTTGGCAAATGGCCCGTGGATTTCCTGTTTGGGGTCCTGGCTTTGGTCCGGAGCCTGCTCCAGCATATACTGTTCAGGCAGCGACCCTATCAGGGCAGGAGGCAGAGGGTTGAAGAACTGGAAAGGCAGCATGAAGGTCATGTTGTTTATGAGGCTCTCAAACGGGTGCATACTGCTGGGGTTTCCCCGGTCCACAGCAGCGGGGAGGCTGGAGCTCCTGTGGCTGCAGCTCTCGATGAAAGCCCTGAGATCGGCGGTGGCGGGCGGCATGACAACCGACTGCTCCTCTTTCTCCTGAATCGCCATGAGCTCCACTATGGACTTGGTCTCTCCAAAACGAAGGAACTGCTGCAGGGTGGCCACCTCCTCCTCACTGGTCATGATGCTCCAGTGGTCCAACACCTTTCCGGATGCGTCCTAAACCCAAACGAGAATTTAAATGTCTGAGAAGGGGAGGGAGCGAAGCGAACTGTGGTTAACTTCTGAGAACTGTGCCTATGAAATACACGTGATCTGCTCTCTTTATATCAACAAAGCATGAGATCAATTTATCACTCCTTAATTTTTTGCTCTAGCAAAGTAGCCATTTGGTTAGGACCATCACCAGACTCTAGGGTTCAGCTCTGAGCGTATCAGAGAAGATGCCGGGCCGGCAGTGTGGCATAGAGAGTAAAGCCAACACCTGCAGTGCTGGCATCCCATATGGGTGCTGGTTCGAGTCCCAGCTTATCCACTTCTGATCCAGCTCTCTGCTATGGCCTGAGAAAGCAGTAGAAGATGGCCCAAGTGCTTGGGCCCCTGCACCCGCATGACAGACCTGGAAGAATCTTCTGGCTCCTGGCTTTGGATCGGCGCAGCTCCAGCCTTTGTGGTCATTTGTAGAATGAACCAGCAGATGGAAGACCTCTCTCTCTCTCTCTCTCTCTGCCTCTTTGTAACTCTCTCAAATAAATAATTAAAAAAAAAAAGATGTCCCCTCGACCCCTCCTAGATGAGAACAGGACTTAGGGAGTTCAGTCCTGCTTTCTCCACTCTGCCAGGCCAGAATCTCTGGGAGAAACATAAACTGCCTACATGTAGGCAGTCATTGTATAGACAGTTTAGAAGAGAGAAGGAAAACTATATGACTCACACTAAAGCTAGGGAAATGGGGTGATTATTTTTACCTTATTTCAAATGAACTGGTTATCTGCATTAGGCATAATAATTTCTCCCACTAAACTTAAAGTATGTATCATTTGAACAATAGTATCATCTCTATCTAAAGAGTATAGATGGCGCAGTCAGGCCTAGATATGGATCAAGTATTCATTTACTGTGAGGTTAATGATCTTCCCAAGCAACTAACATCAGAAAACAAATGAACCTGTATTGATCTATTGCCCGCGTTCACAGAGCAGAGCTGTAATTACACTGGAGTGTTGGAGATCTTTCAAACTCTAGCAAGGCCTAACTTTTCCCAAAACTACAATAAATATTTTATCACAGAACATGTATTTGATGGCCTACTGAGATTTTTCACAGCGCATGTAAGAGTTTTGAAGATGATGAGGGATGTATCATCATCAATTTTTCATGCACTAGAGGTTCAAGGTAATTGATTCCATATTTTTAATCCTAACACTAGAAAGCAAGATTATTAGGATCATTAAATATTGATCTGTGTCATTATGTAAGATCATAATGCTACTCTCCATAAATGGCTGCCTCTGGCTGGCTGGGGGTCCTGCACAGAGGTGAACAAATGTGATTCCAGGGAAAGCATCCGGGCTCCATAGCTGCACGGAAGCGAGTCCAAATGATGGGTCTGCCACATACTAGTCAATGACTTTTTTTTTTTTTTTTCGACAGGCAGAGTTAGACAGTGAGAGAGAGACAGAGAAAAAGGTCTTCCTTCCGTTGGTTCACTCCCCAAATGGCCGCTACAGCTGGCGCTGCGCCACTCTGAAGCCAGGAGCCAGGTGCCTCTTCCTGGTCTCCCATGGGGTGCAGGGCCCAAGCACCTGGGCCATCCTCCACTGCACTCCCTGGCCACAGCAGAGAGCTGGCCCGGAAGAGGGGCAACCGGGACAGAATCCGGCGCCCCGACCGGGACTAGAACCCGGGGTGCCGGTGCCACAAGGCGGAGGATTAGCCTAGTGAGCCGCAGCGCCAGCCCAGTCAATGACTTTTACTACATTTTGAAGCACTCTGAGCCTCTGACTTTTCAACTGGAACATGAGGATAACATACCCATCTCATAAGATTACTGGAAGAATACACGGTTGTTGCTAGTGTTTGTCTCAATGATACAGCCTACTTGAGTTAAGATGAAGTCTCCATCAACCTTGGAAATCACGTTCATTCCTATTTCACTGAATTTTTTTGCCAAGATTACTGACATTTTCTGTTGTCCTGGCATGATAAAAAAAATGTGGTGACTGTTTCTTATTTCACAGGAATGTTATAATTCCCTTCAGGAAATATATTAGTTTGCTTTTAAAAACACCTTGATGGCTTCTCTGGTTATGCAACATGTGGCCATATCATGACCTGGGAAGAGGTTAATGACTGCAAAATAAAGACAGAAGAGATGAAGACCACAGAACATGGGCGAGCAGAGGAGGTGGCCCAAAGAGAACAGCGGGGAGAGGAGCAAGAGCATGAACACAGGAATAGTTCAAGAAATGGAGACCAGGATAGGCTAATCCTCCGCCTAGCGGCACCATCACACTGGGTTCTAGTCCCGGTCGGGGCGCCGGATTCTGTCTGGTTGCCCCTCTTCCAGGCCAGCTCTCTGCTGTGGCCCGGGAGTGCAGTGGAGGATGGCCCAAGTGCTTGGGCCCTGCACCCCATGGGAGACCAGGAGAAGCACCTGGCTCCTGGCTCCTGCCATTGGATCAGCGCGGTGTGCCGGCCGCAGTGCGCCGGCCGCGGCGGCCATTGGAGGGTGAACCAATGGCAAAGGAAGACCTTTCTCTCTGTCTCTCTCTCTCACTGTCCACTCTGCCTGTCAAAAAAATTAAAAAAAAAAAAAAAAAAAAAAGAGACCAGGAAGGAAGTCCAGCATGGGATGGCGGAGAGCTGTAAAGAACAGGAGTGTGGGTCTGTAACCTAAGTTCCCCTTCTCACCTCCACGCTCTCAGTAAAGCCTGATAAAGACAGTGTCTTGTGTCAGGAGGTAGACTGGGGACAATAAACGAAATGGAGGCAGCACTGAAGATGGGCCAAATGGCTTACTGTAGAAGAAGTAGCTTTGTAAAACCCACATCACAGAATGCAAGGGCACATCAAAAAGGTCACGGGCAGTGGAATGCAAACATCAGCTTAGTCTGGTACAAAACTGTTTCTGAAATTCACGTATGGATTTTGCCCAACAGAAGACCCCTCACATGGAATGCTCCCACACTGTGAAGTTTCAATGGATATTTTGGGGGAAAGCTCTGGATTCCCTTGAGAACACGAGGCAGGGGCTTAGGTTACTAGAAAAAAAAAACCAAAACATTAAAGGGAAGGATGGCCACCAGTGACCTTCAGGCAGCTGAGTGACACTGGTCAGATAGGCACAGATTTTAGGAGACAAAAGGCAGAATAGGGTCCACGGTTCCTGTGTACCTGCAGCACGTATCCGCGGATGTAATCCTGCAGGGTCCAGTCCAAGGCGTGCAGGATCTGGAGAACCTCATCCTGCTTCAACACGCTGAAGAGACGGTCCAGCAGGATTTTCAGGCGAACCGGAATGGCCTGGGTCCCATACAGCATGAGGCTGCTAATATCAAACACTACATTGGACTGAACAATCTCCACCTGGCTTGTTGGATACACGGGAGGGATCCTCAGCTTACTCAGGGCTGAAAAATCAATTGGAAGAAATACCATTTTTGAAAAGTTCTAATTTTAAGAGAAACATAGTACAGAAAGCACATTAGAGGTAATGCTCAGTTTTCGGTTCTATGGGGTGGGGGATGGATCATAAACACAGAGGTGTCGAAGGGCCCTAAACACTATCAGGCTTCACGTTACTCATGGGAACTTCTAAATCATAACTGGATGGGTCTGAGACTTTCTCCTTCTCCTGTGGCATCCCTAGGAGTGAAACATTCAGAAACAGGGAAGGAGCGAGGAAAAGGGGTGGACACAGAAGTGGCAGGTGCGTACCAAGGGGATGAGCAATCAGGGGCAGAGTCTGGGGGTGAAGAGCCTGGACGTGGGAATCAGACAGATCTGGGTTGGGTCCTCGTCTTTTGTGTTCTGACTGTGGGGACTGACAGATAAAACCTTTCCAGCTGCCAACGTGACAGGCACCAGCCGCATATGGTGACTTAAATTTGCATAGAAGAAGTTATTAAATAGAATTAGAAACTCAACTTTTCAGTCACACTAGCCATACTTCAAGTACCCAGAACCCATGGGTGGCTAGGGTAGGGTTGTCAGATTTGGGAAAGGAATACACAGGACCCCCCAGTTCAATCTGAATATAAATTTTAGATAAACAACAAACCCCTGGGATATACTTATACCTCAAATATTCATTGGGATATAATTAGGCCAAGCAGTATTCACAGTTTATCTGAGATTTGAATTTAGCTGAGCATTCTATATTTTATCTGGCAACCCTTGGCTAGAGGCCACCGTACTGGATAGCATGGAACACTTCCATCATTGTGGAATGATAGTGTCGAAGCACCAGTTTTTACACCTTTAGAATGGAGTCCATAGGACACTTATCCTACAGGTTTGTTAAGATCCAAAAAATATCATACAGAAGTCTCGTTAGCTGACAGTCTTAGATATGAAATCAGGTCCTGAGTAAGGTATTTAGAGGCAGGAAAATAAAATTACCATGGGCCACCCATCCATGCCTGCACTGCTCACACTGGCGGTGGTTTATTTTCCCAGGTTTGAAACTCTGGCAACTACAGTTCAGAGTACAGCCGATAGCCTGCAAAAGAGAGCACAGGTGCACGAGGCATGTGAGGGATGTGTGGAACACACGTTGCACTGACAAAGCATATTCCTCCGTCTGGCAGTGTTCACTGAGCTATGAATGCCCACCCTGAGCCAGGCCCAGAGGTGTGCAGCATGTGCACATCCGGCCCAGACAGTCGGTATTAAGAATGGGCTACACACAGCAAGAAAAGATTACAGGTTAGATGGTATCTCCTGCTCCATTACTAAGGGTACAGAAAAGGCTGAGTGGCACGTGTTTACCGCATCTCTATATTGATCAGAGCAGCAACCTTGAAAGGTGTACGGAGGCCATCCCAAACTGAGTGTAATTCACGTCTCGGATTCGTTATCCTCCTCACACACAGGTACTACAGTAGAGACTGAACTCTAGGCTTGGTAAATGTAACGGCTGAGAGTGCAAAGATGATTCCCTGCCTTTACTCACTGCACTGTGTGGCTGTTGGACGCACACACATGCTGGACGAGTCCTGCATTAATGCCCCAGCTGTGTGTTCTTTAATAGTTGATAATTTTCTTCAAGTCTCTATCTCTTTTTGAAGACCTCATGTTAAAAATCTGTGTGATGCTTTGTTCTTAACATCTAGAGCTTTGTTGGACATGCCCATCCCTGTTTTCTGTTTCAACTATAGATGAGTACTTCAAAAAGTTTGTGGAAAACTGGAATTAAAACTTAAGTACTTTGGCACACACACACAAAAAATGAAATCCCTGCATAGGAGGAGGCCTTCAAAAAGTTCCTGAAAATGCATATTATGAAAAAAACATGGATTTTCAAATTTATTTGCATAAATTTAATTTAGCTTTTCATTCTATTCTCCACTTTTTTGAAGAACCCTCGTATTTTAGTGCACCCCACACCAAACAAGGCACTAGAATATGCAGCTGGTGAGATTCTAAAATGGCACCACCACTTTGGAAAACAGTTTGGCTGTTCTTCAAAAAGCCAAATATCAAGTTGCTGTATGACCCAGAAATTCACTCCAGATACATACACAGAGCACTGAAAACATGCCCACAAAATTGTTCCTAGCAGCATTATCCATGGGCGCTCAGAAGTGGAAACAACCCTGACATCCGCCATATGATGAAACATAGCAGAATGTGCTAAACCTGTGGTACAGCCATAGAGTGGAATATTATTTGTTAATAAAAAGGAATGAAATACTGATAATGCCACGACGTGGAAACATTATGTTAAGTGAAGGGAGCTAAGTATAAAAAGTCACATACTATAGGGTTCCATTTAACATGCAATGTCAAGAAAAGGTCAGTCCATACAGGCAAAAAGATCAGCAGTCCTCAGAGGCCGTGGGAAGCAAGACACAGAAGCAATGTCACTGCTAATGGGAAGGGCTCGTGTTCTTTCTTCTTTCCGTCTTTTCTTAAAAACACAGCTTTATTGTGATGTAATTTGTGTATCACAGAATCCACCCAATTAAAGTAGGCAATTAAATTCTTTTTAGTGAAGCTGACATTCTGGCACAGTGGGTTAAGCCACCGCATATGATGCAGGTTAAAGTCCTGGCTGCTCCATTTCTGATCCAGCTCCCTGCTAATGCATCTGGGAAAGCAGTGGAAGACAGCCCAAGCGATTTGGCCTCTGCAACCTGTGTGGGAGACTTAACTGGAGTTCTGGGCTCCTGGCTTTAGCCTGACCCAGGCCCTGCTTATGCAGTCATTTGGGGAGTGAACCAGTGGATGAAAGATGTCTCTGTCTCTCCCTCAAACTCTGCCTTTTAAACAACAAAAAAATATTTTAATACATTTTTAGTATCTTCACTGAAGTGTGCAACCATTAGTCACAATCTAACTTTAAACATTCTCATTATCCCCTCAAAGACCCTCCTATACAAGTTTATAGTAGACATGTATCTTCATTTCTGTTGGATTTAATCCTACAAGCAGCACTGTTGGGTCATACAGTAATTCTTTTTTTTTTTTTTAAAGATTTAATTTATTTATTTGAAAGAGTTAGAGAGAGAGGTAGAGAGAGAGGTCTTCCATCTGCTGGTTCACTCCCCAGATGGCCACAATGGCCTGAGCTGTGCTGATCCAAAGCCAGGAGCCAGGAGCTTCTTCCAGGTCTCCCACGCAGGTGCAGGGGCCCAAGGACCTGGGCCATCTTCTACTGCTTTCCCAGGCCATAGCAGAAAGCTGGACTGGAAGAGGAGCAGCCGGGACTAGAACTGGCACCCATGTGGGATGCCGGTGCTTCAGGCCAGGGCTTTAACCCGCTGTGCCACAGCGCTGGCCCCAGGTCATACAGTAATTCTATGTTTAACTCAAGGAACTGTTAAACTGGAGCAGGTGCACCACTGTACATTCCTACTAGCAATGTACAAAGGTTCCAATTTTTCCACACCCTTGTCTACAGTGGTTTTTTTATTTTTTTATTTTTTGACAGGCAGAGTGGACAGTGAGAGAGACAGAGAGAAAGGTCTTCCTTTTGCCGTTGGTTCACCCTCCAATGGCCACCACGGCTGGCACGCTGTGGCCGGCGCACTGTGCTGATCCGATGGCAGGAGCCAGGTGCTTCTCCTGGTCTCCCATGGGGTGCAGGGCCCAAGCACTTGGGCCATCCTCCACTGCACTCCAGGGCCACAGCAGAGAGCTGGCCTGGAAGAGGGGCAACTGGGACAGAATCCGGCGCCCCTACTGGGACTAGAACCCGGTGTGCTGGCGCCGCAAGGCGGAGGATTAGCCTAGTGAGCCATGGCACCGGCCCTACAGTGGTTATTGTCCGTTTTTTGTTTTTTTATTATAGCCATCCTAATGGGTGTGAAGTAGTATCTCACTGTGGTTTCGCCTCGTACTTCCCTGACGGCTCATGGTGTTCAGCATTTTTTCATGTGCATATTGGCCATTTATATATCTTCTCTGGAGATGTAGCTACACAGATCCTTTGCCTGTTTGTTAATTGGGTTGTTTGCCTTTTTAGTATTAAGTTGTAAAAATTCTTTATATAGTCTGGCACAAGTCCATTATCAGATATATGATTTGCAAATATTTTCTCCCATCCTTGGATTACAGCTTCACTTCTTTTAAGAAAAAGATTTCTTTATTTATTTTTGAAAGGCCGAGTTAGAGTTAGAGAGATAGAGAGAGGGATGGGGGGGAGGGAGG